ACTTAGATAAGCCCAGAGGTTGTTTCAGGGTTCAGTCTGTTAGTTAGCCATACCCTCACTTAGATCAGCCAAGAGGTTGTTTTAGGGTTCTATCTGTGAGTTAGCCGCGCACTGACTTAATCAGCTCAGAGGTTGTTTTAGGGTTCTATCTGTGAGTTAGCCATGCCCTTACGGCTTTGTTTAACCCATAAATTGTTTCAAGGTATCGATACAATTTAACTATTAGGAATTTTAATCTCGACTTTTTCTTCCAGGAAAGAAAAGGGCCTAAAATTGGCGGAGAGACGTTATTAGTCAGAGGAGAAGAACAGCCAAAGTATTTTAATTCTATTCAAAGTTGAAATCATTAGAACATATTGGGTTCAAAATCTGATTTTACCGACGTGCCGTACCGTGTTTATTATAAGTGCTTTCCTTCAAGGCACTAAAACCACCAGTACCTAATTAGAAAGGCCAAGTTTGGGCTACCTGTGGGCAAATCGTTCTCATTGGTTCAGAAGTAGACGTGCGCGGTGATTGGTTGAGCGGATTTGGTCGGTTCCGTGTCATGAGCGTACCGCGCGCGCCGTATTCTTTTTAACATTCATACCAAAAAACAAGTACTCTATATAGACGAACCTTTTTTAGTTTGAACATTAATTTTTTTTTTAATCTCAGATTCCTTTTTTGTATTCGGTTTTCCAACTGTTCTCGTTCTCTTGAGTATTATAGCTTTATCTTTCAGTCGTATTTAAAATTTACATTGATATGGATTAATTAACTCAAACTTTTTATACACCAATGGTACAGGATGCCATATTTCATGTCAGGAAAGTTAAAGTGATTCTAAAGTTTAAATAAATATTAAAGTATCGAGATTAGGAAAAACTGGACGGGTGAGAATTTCAATCCTAATGGGGGGAGGGAAAGAGTTTATGCCTCATTAGGGAATTCAATTATGCTGCTATTGCCGGTTTAATATCGTGCTTATACACGTGGCAGGCGAAACGATTCGATAAATGATAGACACGTTAGAATTATTAGAATTGAAGTCTTAGAACTATCTAACCACATCTATACAGCAAGTCGTATTTCATTATTTGAAAACAGCTTGTTTTGTAAAGAACACTGATTGATAAGTTAGAAGGTAGCAAACTGGCAGACTGTCTTAGGTGCGTTTAAAAAAAGTTAAAACTAAAATACAGACTTTGTATATAATGTTAAGTAGGACAATGTTGAAATATCTACATGTAACTCACATCTGATGTGTTCGAGTTGTATGGCTTTCTAACGTCTTTTAAAGGCCAGTGAATGGAATTGACCCCGTTGTGCTGTTGTGCTATTGGTCGATTTATTTGAATTCAGATACGTTATTACGATATCTTCAAAATGAACAGTAGTTTTACCCAGGTGGCCATAATATGAGGATGGTCCTGATATCTTAGCTTCGATAGTGTAAACAACATTTGGTTCTAGAGGAACAGGTTCGCCAAGCATGATATTTAATCCATGGTATCCACTCATCTGCTTACTTACAATTGGGATGGAGGTACAAACCTGCCTGATTTTTTCATCACTTTTATACAAGGACAAAGAAACTGTATAAGTGGAACCATTACTTCCAAAAAGTGTTATGCCAGCGAGGGATAGGGGTTTGTTTACCTTAAAATCAATTGCATCACTTTTTGTACTGGTATATGCCCAAGCACTGCCAATACCAGTGGGTGCTGCAAGTGAGTCGAACCTTGTGTTGGGTGTAAAACAATAATTATTACTCTTACATTTACCTCTAATCGTATTGCTAAATGAACTAGTTAGCAGAGCTAACTTTTTAAAAAACCGAATTACTTCAGTAACTTCATCCATCTTGAGAATCCCACAAGGTAATACCTTCTCAGCGAACTCAGTTTCTGACATGAGTGGAAATCGGATGAGTTTGATCACTTCTTCCCCAAGTACTGCTCTCTTATTCTTCCTGTTCTCTTCCAAACCCTTTTCTTTGAGTTTATTCAAGGCCCATTTTTCCACTGCTTGGAATAAAACCACTTCATCAATGGACATGGTGTCCCTACCAAGCACTTTGCACAACATTTCCTTTGAAATATTCAGAAATGCCTCAGAATACACAGCTCTTTCAGCATCATTATCCAGTATATCCCAGCATTTCTGTTCAACCTTCTCGTTGCGTATTTGTGGTAATACGTAGAACACATCTTCTGGTTTAAGCTCCTTTTCAAGATATTCCTCACATTTCTCCTTCAGGAACGGCAGCATATACTTCTCTGCTACATAAAGCACTTCCAAAACATTACTTCCGGTTAAGTTGACCTCGTCTGAATACACGTATCGAAGCATTTCTTGTAGTCCTTCCTTGGTGCATTCTGGCAGCTCGATAGTTCGTCCAGTCTCTGCTAATTCTCCGTAGAACATGGCCTCAAAGACAGGACTACTGATAGCCAGGACGTACTTGTGTGCTGGGATTGTGACTTTGTCTCCATTAGCATCCATCACAGACAACTCTACATCAAAGAACAAGGACTTGTCGTATGCGTACATATTACGTTCTTTGAAGGAAGATAACTTGGTCTGCCAGGCTGAAGCTTCCATTGTTTTAACTTTTAGGGTCGATTTTTAAGATGACGAGGTGAAAATCTGGTTCAGTCTAAGATGCCAGAAACAGACAGAGCTGAGAATATTTCAGGGACGAGGTTGGCCTTAGTCAACAGAGCAAGTAAATCGAAAATGAAAGTAATCTGCATCTGCATCAAGAGTTCCGCGCTACTTGCTCTAAGCGCATGCTCAAGGGGTCAAAAAGTGGGATTATGGGTTGTAAAGATTGCTTTATTTTGGTTTATTATTATTTTGGAATAAGTTTAACGCTACTTGCTCTTGGATATTTAATGAAAATTGTGCTCAATAGGAAAAACAAAATATATCATTTTTTCGTCCCCTTTAGCCACAGGCAGCCCAATCCAAAACGCACCAAACTGGCTTCAAGATCAGCAAAATATCAAAAGATACGACAAGCTATCAAGGAAAGTAGTTCTTTTTCTTAAAAGTACTAATTTTTCATGCTATGAAATATTACCGTTTACATTCAAATACTATACTACAACGCACAGAACAAAAGATTGGGCTACCTGTGCTTAAGCATACGCAAAGAGCAGTAGCGCGGAACTCTTGATGTACTGTATTTGATATATCACATTTGTCCTGGTCTCCGCTTTTTATAGAGGTGTCCACCTCTTATTCGAGCGCGCAGTAGCGATACACTGAGAGGGCGGCGTACTTTTCGAAAGTCTAAAGTTAGGCTGTATAGATTTTACTGTATTTTGAGACCGTTCATCTATAGCTGCCGTTTATTATGAAGGTGTCTAGGTATTAAAAATAAATTAAATAAAATAATAGAGTCAAAAACGATCTCAATGAGTTGGCCTAAATCTGAAACAATTATAACTTTGAATAATAAATCCTTTCTCGAAGAAAAAGTGTAAGAAAAACAAACTTCTTTTCATTTTGGATTCGGACGATTGACGTCACTCAAAAACAAAAGTCGTAATCATTTAGAATGGCATGTGTCAAGGGCTTTGTGTGAGGCTGAGTTGACAGTGGTGTTTCAAATTCCTTCGGGTCTTAGGACGATATTCTACTATGTACCGTCGTTTCAGATCTTTGGTTATAACTGTCTTTATCACTGTCGTCGAATTTACAAGCCACAGAGGTAAGAAAAATCGTTATAGCATTTTTGAGGTTTCACAACTACTTAACCGTATGAATATGCTTCAGCATATTTGAATAATTTACTGTATCGGCTTCATCGTTTGCTAACTACAAGAAATCATATTTCCGGTCATGACTCTTTCAAAAGTCCTAGCTTGATCTGTATAATTTCGATGAGGTCCTGTTCTTGATAATTATGCCCTTCAAGATTCACTTATAACGTCGACAAATATTTTTTATTTGACCGCGGCATGTTACGATTAAGTCGTGTTCAAATGTTGGGCAATGTATATATTATATGTACTAAACCTTCGCCCTCAAAATTTCAAAAGAGAGATGAAAATGACTTGTTTCTCCGTACTTCAAAATATTATTTCTATTATTCGATTTTTCCCCCTATTAAACTGAATTTGTGCACTTTGCAAAATAACCGTAAGTAGGACGGTCATGGATGAAATCAATCGTTACCTATAAGCACAGGCAGCCCAAACTATGTTTTTATGCCCTATGATAAATTTTAGGCAATAGACCCCTCGTCGAAATGCAGCTCAATTTGGATGACATAACAATAAGTTTGCAATTTTCAGAAGATTGAAATTCTTTTTCTTTGTCCTCCAAATTGAACTCCTTCAATGTCACATGCAAGGGGTCGACTATTCCGACTGGGGTTTTTCCTAATTTAATCATGACTCCCCTCGAAATTGCCTGAGGTTGATCTAGATCATGAAAAACTACTGATAAACTAACCTAAGCAAATTACAGCCTTATAATTAAGTCATGGAGGAGCGATCAAAAAAATGTTTAGAATTTGTATGTATATTAAAGAATTAATTTATAATTACTAATTATGATAATTATAATTTATGATTTTTTTCAGTCCTTGTAAATGCTGCATTTAAAAACTGTAAGCCATTTGATGTGATCCCTAAATCCAATTATGATAAAGACCCAGCATCACTTCGAGATTATAGCAAGCGACCGAATGGTTTTATGTATGGTTTTGCTGAATACCCACCAACCAGCACTAACTTAATGAATCCATGTGTCACTCTGCAAAATCTTACTGGTCGTTCAGTTGAAATTAAGGTGATTGTCATTTGCAACAAATAATGATTTAAAATAGCTTCATAAATTAACTGTTAAAAATTGTGCTCTTAGTTGTTGGGGCCCGGGGGAGGGGGGGTACTCCGCCAGGATTTGGGTAGGGGTGTTCCGCTGGGATTCTGAAAGGGGTACCCTGTTTATGACAACAAAGCTCAAATTTGTAGACCCTGTTTATGACAAAAGATATAATTAATTGCCCTGAGTTCCTGTTTCAATTATCATGTCATCTCGCGTATCGTTTTTTTACGACTATAATAACCAGTTTCGGTCAATACGAAAGTAGAAACCCTGAATATGACAGGAAACTCAGGAAGAACTTGGAACTTGAGTGAAATTGCATATCTTGTTTATGACAAAAGGCTCGAAAAACCATATCCTGTTCAGCAGATCATCCCCGTATAGTCCATATGTGGGAGTACCCCCCGGGTATTGGGGCACATACTTCAGAGAACTAAACATGCACATACATTTTCTATTTTGTCACTCCTATCCAAAATAACAACCATTTTAATTCGTATCTTATAAAAAGATATTTTTAAGATGACTTGGGGATTGGAAAAACAATGTCCAGCCAAATTCTGCATGTGTCAGATTTAAACTGCACACAACATGCACAGCTATATCCTTCTATTTCTTCAGGAAATTTTAATCTGAAGCTAAAATATGAAAGATCACGCATTGTAAGGAATTTAGCAGTTATTTGGGACATTACTTGTAAATTCCTAATGCCACAGTCTACTTAGGGAAGCACGGGTGGCGTAGTGGTGAGAGCGCTCGCCTCCCACCAACACGACCCGGGTTCAAGTCCCGCTGAGCTCGGTGTCGCATGTGAGTAGAGTTGTTTGTTGGTTCTCTCCTGTGCTTCGAGGGTTTTCCGGGTTCCCCGGCTTTCCTCCCTCAGCAAAAATGAACTCCTAAATTCTTATTGGAATTACAGTGGATGAATAGCTACTCTGTAGAAATGCCACTGCTAAATCCCATTTATTTATTTATTCATTTATTATTTATTGCTAATGATCTATCACAAATCTTGTGCTTTGATTGGCTGAGTAGTCTATTAGTGACAGTGGTAGACCATGGCCACTGGTAGCAAAATGTGCTGAGTTTGAAAACCAAAACAACACAAAATAGATGTTTGAAACTAATTTTAATATTTTTTTACATCCAAATATTTGACCAGAATGAATAGACGGATTAGTAGGTATATTTTGATTAAAGTGGACTTATTTAGATAGCTTACGTTTAGATATCGACATGCAAGATAGTAGGTTTACACTAAGTCAGTAAGTCAATAGATCATTCAGCCTTCAGCCTCATGAGCTATATATGTTTTGGCAGGTAGATCATTCTGACATGAATAGCTGGAATAGATTTTAAGTTACGTCAAATATTCTCAAATGTTAAAAATAATCATTTTTTCGTAATATTGAAACAGGCACAGGCTATCCTCGAAGGGAGTAAGATATGGTGTGTAAAATTTTTTTAAAAATTATTTACATAAATTAAGTGAACCTGAAAAATTTATATTTTTAATGTGTTCTTTTTAGTGTAAAAGATGATGGAGGTAACAGTGGGTGTGGCACAGTAAGTATATTATAGTTTATATGCATAGGTAAGAATGTATCATATAATAGTGGGTGGGGTATGTAGTATAGTGTATGGGTAACAGTGGGTGTGGTGTATAGTGTATGGGTAACAGTGGGTGCGGTACATAGTATAGTGTATGGGTAACAGTGGGTATAGTGTATAGTATAGTGTATGGGTAACAGTGGGTGTGGTATATAGTATAGTGTATGGGTAACAGTGGGTGTGGTATATAGTATAGTGTATGGGTAACAGTNTGTATGGGTAACAGTGGGTGTGGTATATAGTATAGTGTATGGGTAACAGTGGGTGTGGTATATAGTATAGTGTATGGGTAACAGTGGGTGTGGTACATAATATAGTGTATGGATAACATTGGGTGTGGTAATTGGTATAGTGTGCAATATATATAGTGATATTTAATCCTGTTTCCTTTCTGAAGAGCACATTAGGCCAGTGTTGGGATGCACACTCAGATACAGTCAAGTATGAGTTCTACTGTAATCCAGCCAAGGGCTGTGATTCAGATGTGCAGTTCTGGTACCGCCTTGCTCCAAGTATAGGTGGTAAGTTATTGATAATTGATTCTATCCCAGCACCATGTACATGGACTACCAGCACTACATATGGATTTCCATAGTTACTCACCTCTATTTTCTGCTGAAATGGCACTAATGAATGTCATCAATGGTTGCTATCCTGATTTTGCTTGAAGGAAACTTTACTAGGGTAAAAAATTGTTTGAAGAGCGCTTAAATGTCAGATATTTCAGTTTCAAATGCAAAGGTAGCATAGCTGTCCTTTACCATCAAGGGAAGTCAACGTTTTTTTCACAAGAAAGTATTTGCATGCACAAATTATACAAGTATGACACTAGCTGTACATAGACTAACTGTGAATTGAAAATGATATTGTTCATCTTCAGATTCAGATGACTGGTGTACTCTTATGTTAGAGAATGATTATCCAAGCAGCTTGCTTCCAGTACCTTCGCGTGTTCCCACCCAGAAGACAACTCCAAGCTCTACCTCACTGTGTAGAGTTTCACACTTACTAACCATCTTGTCGGTTCTCATAAGCCATTACTTACTTTTTATCCCACACTAGAAGAATTTAGAAGCCATGTTATTCATTATTATATTTAGATTGATTTATACTGTAGTCATCCTAACATTGGCGTCCCTAAGGGAGGGTTCTTGGGTATCTGCATCCCTAGGGGAGGGTTCTTGGGCATCTGTATCCCAAGGGAGGGAGAGACAGACCCCCAGATGCACCAAGTGTCCAAGGATAATAAATTTCTTGAATGACTAATTTAAATGTGATAGAATAACTCTCTTCCTCCCCGTCCCCATCCTCACATACATAATCTATTGTACATAATTTCAATTCAAATCATTTAAAAATTCTGTTGACTATTTAAATAAGAAAGGATACAAATAGTTTTTTATTTTTTGCCATCGTTGAACTTTAGGAATAGAAAATTAAGGCACTAGTCTGCATCCATTTGTGAAAGGACACCAACCTGCATTTTTTTGTTTGTCTGTGTGTTTGTTTATTTATTTGTTTGTTTGTTTGTCTCTCTGTCAGTTTATTTGTCTGTCTGTCGGTCTGTTTATTTGTTTGTCTGTCTGTCTGTTTGTCTGTCTGTGTGTTTGTTTGTCTGTATGTCTGTTTGTCTGTCTGTCTGTTTGTTTGCGTGTGTGTTTGTTTGTTTGTTTGTTTGTGTGTTCTTTTGTATGTCTGTTTTTTTGTATGTATATATGTTTGTCTGTGTGTTTGTTTGTCTGTCTGTCTGTTTATTTGTTTGTCTGTCTGTCTGTTTATTTGTTTATTTGTTTGATTGTTTGTTTGTTTTTCTTTTCTTCCAAAGACAAAGCTTAAAGGAGCAATACTGATATTTGGTGTTGTCAAAGTGATACTGAATAAAATAACCAAGTTGTAATCAAATACTTTGTAGAAACTTTTATTATTCATGATATTTAAAAGAGTATTGTCAAAATTTATAAAACTATAGTACACGATTGTTGGATAATGGAAAGTATAACCGACCAAGTGTTTTAAATGATATAATATTGAGTAAAGGAATATTATTTCTTTGTCGAGTCAAATCTCAAGTCATCAACTTATTAACATAATTGCTAGGAATATATATTGAAACTTAACTATAGTACAATAAGCTTGATCATCTTATCAATATCGATCTATTGAGCATTGAATTCTCAAATGTCAAATTAAGCGTTAGACCAACATCTTGCCTCATATTGCTACATGATTCTATCATCATTCCTAGAAAGAGATTAATGTAAAGTTTAGTGATTTTAGCATCTCATGACAAGAAAGCTATGGCGCGCATCGACCAATGAGAACGTGCGTTATTAATTGATGCATATCATTATAGTATCTATGTTCAGAATTTTTAAGCCAATCACCATGGAAACGGTACTCTATCGTACAAACAAGAAGAGTGTGTAAATTTGGAAGCAATGACTGGAATGAGATCATTCTCAAATCTGTAATATTAATGAAGTAAATAGTGCACGTAATTCCTGATACATTACTTTTTATATCGACTTTACTTGAATTGGAAAGTAAACCCCAAATGCCAGGAATGACGTCACAGTCATTTATATAATGAAAGTTTAAAGACGTAACAATGAAACAGGAGTAATTCAGCATTAACCTGTTCAGTGCTTCATGTAGATATCAATATTGAAAGTATTGTATCAGGCATAAAGTGCGCTTTAATGTTACATGTACCTCAAGGGTTCCAGACGCTGCCCAGGGGTTTCTGGCAAACTGTTGAAACAAGGAATTTATTATATTAATAATATTCTTTATATTAATATTATTCTTAATATTGATAATATTCTTTATATTATTAATATTCTTTATATTGATAATATTCTTTATTATATTAATAATATTCTTTACATTAATAATATTCATTATATTAACCATATTTGCGCAATAGGCTATTATAAAAGACGAACTACACGCAAAAGCAATTCATATAGGCTATAAGTAAAAAGATGCTACTCAAAGTTACAAACAGCGCACGCTTGGTCAAGACTGAAGTACTGATAAGCGATAAATGAACACTTGAGTCCACTTACATTGAAGTCATCTAATGCTGCTAAACTATGTTATACGCGCGCGTCGTACATAGATATATTTTTAGTGACTCATGCGCGCTCAATCTATAGTCTGATTTTAGTGCCAACATTTTGATTTATTAATTTTATCACGTCATTCTGGTTATACGCTTAACTACCTAAGCGGTAGGACACAATACTCTCAGCACGCTTGACTTTATTGCAAGGTATTTTTAGTCTCATCACACTTCATAACCATTAGATGAGGAAATATCAGATTCAACTATCTGGTATTGGTCAAGTTTAATTCATAGCCTAATATCAAATTGTAACTTGAAGTGGCAATACTTTGGTAACTATTAACGTCAAGGAAAAAAGTAATGTTATGTTACTTACGTTTGCAGTATTTCCTGCAGTACTTTGAAGCATAAGTGGGCTGCCCTTTGCAGTGATCCATCCCGTACAAATTCATTAAATATGCGCAGTCGTCTCTCTTGTCCTCACATTCACCTGTAGTAAGAAAGGCAAAATAGTACGTCAGCTAACACTTTAGTTACTAAAAGCCATTGAAGAGTAAGGCCGGCAATTCTTGTATACGTGGCCGGGAGAAAAATCGTCGAGCCTCTGGGACCAGGGTAGGCAATTCTCAACACTGTAGTAGATTTTTAATTTCTCGGCAACATTGTACTGAAGAATTTCTTGCAAAAAATAATAATAAAAGATAAGGCGGCCATGTTGAATCGAACAAAAAAGACTAATGATTAAAGCGAGACAAAATCTTTTGTTAACTTCATCCAACATGTCGGCTGGAAACCAGCAAGTTGAAAATGATCATGATGTATTGAATTATACTCTAAAGGATTGAAATTTTCGAAGACTAGTTTAATTTTGTAAACATTGGCGGGAAGTTTTTCCCGCCATAAAATACTGACCATCGGAAATCATGTGATAACACGAGACTTCAAAGAAAATTATAATAAAGTAGTTTCAATGATAACTATGTAAGGGATTTTTGCTCTTCGGATGATCGTTACAAATATATTTTTTCTTAAGAAAGTTTAAGAATAATGTTAACGCTTTCATTACCTGACGGCGCAGGAGGCTTCAATTCTGAAACGAGAAAGTAAAAGTATTATTTATATCTTTATTTTTCTGTAAGGCTCAGGTCAAACGTCGCAAATTCCCGACGTATTCAGCTACGCATCAAAAGCAATGAATAATAAGGCGGTCTTTATGTCATATGAAGTTCGACTTTTGTATTCGTTTTTACTTGACTAGTTTTCATATATTGGTAATCGAGATGAAAGCACTCACTAAATAACGGTTATGCCCCAGGGGAGGAGGGTAGCTTTGGGTGACGACACTAATAGCGGCTGCATAGGAGACTCAATAAAAAGGTGAAATGCACTCAAAAACCTCAAGAATGCTTTGGAATAAGAAAGACAACTTACTTTTAGGTCCGCCTGAGGAAAGAAAAAAGAAAAAATGTGATTAAAAGTCAAGCAAATTTCATTGCGGAAAAAAACATGAAACACGAAACGATAAGTACAGTAGAACCCAGAGTAGAACCTGTACTACAAAAATCAAACTTCTTCAGGTTGGGACTTTGACCACTGGCCGCTATATAGAGGGTGACCGCTATATAGAGGGTTCTACTGTAGTAAACTTGGCTCGCATCTTCATTTGTATTTTGATTTTAGATGAGGCTTTCTCGATGGCAGCATGCTTAATCTGCCCTCGATCAGCTCTCACGCGACGTCTGCGCGCAAGTCGCTCATGCATGTAGTATGGCTTAACTAAGGTGACTGGGATTTAGTGACGTCGCGCGCTTCGTTGCGTACAAAAAAGCACAGTACATTGACTAATAAGTAAACTTACAAGGGCTGCAAGTCCTACGACAGAAGGGCTGATCGCCATAGTCTTGACAGTATCCAGGATCAGTTTTGACCATTTCTCCACAGATTTCTGGCTGTTGATCTGACCAGGACATGCAAAGCAGTTCCTCTACCGGGGAAAAAAAAAAAATCTGAATAAGGTTATTGAGCATTTGTTGGATGAGGTTCATCTAACTCTTAACTAATCGTGTGTGTCATATTTACAGCTACTGAAAAATAAGGTGTTTAGAATATGACTAATGAGACAGAAAAACGCTGAAAATTCTGTGCCGCCGTTTACAACCATGTTACGAGACAAGTTCTACAAAAGCTGTTACGCGGTGAAACTTCCAGCAAATACTCCGAAATACTCTCCTGGCCATACGCTTTCCCTACGCTACTGAAATCCGCACTAGCTGTTACTCATCTTCTGTCGCTCCCGAGGATACTGACACTCCTTAAAACTCGTTTCCTTTTATTATACAGTAGTATAAAAGCATAGCCTTAGACATTTACCTCTTCAAGTCTGACTCTGCCTTAAAATTCGTTTACTTTTATAAAAAGCCTTAGATATTGACCTCGTCAAGTCACCCTGATAATGTTGACAGATACGGAAATAATCAAATCTTTCAAATCTTGCATTATGATTTAGTCTAGCATTGTAATGTACTATGTCTGTCATTTATATGGGTCGCCAATATGTTTGACCATGGTTGGTAGAGGGGGACTGGTTAGGAAACCCGGCAAACTCTTCATGCTGAGAGAGCGGGAACTTTGCGATAGTATAACGTTAAACGTTAAACGTTACACCTGATTGAACTTGATTAGCAAAAACTGTTGGTACTGCCCGTCAGGTCGAAATGGCGATTTTTTTGTCGATTTAAAGATTCTGTGTCGCTTTTTTTGTCCAAATTCTTTGTGGAAGTGTATTTTCACGTACTCACTAACTCTATAGTTCTTGAATGCACGAGTCTGACACTCATATGGCTTCTTCATTATTCAAGCATCGTGATTGGATGGCGTGTTTTTGTTTTTTTTCAAATTAGAATTGGAACAGAGGAACTCATTTGTCAGTCACGGTTTTATAACTGGACTTCTTCTCCTAGAATATCCACTTTCAAAATGAACCCACTGACGGAAAAGAAGCGTCGGGGTTACTCACTATGACCTTTTACTGTCCCTTGTACGTTCAAAAGCGATGGGTGGTGGGGTTAGGAAGTATGTTCAAATATATTTGTACAAAGAATTTGAACAAAAAGCAACACAAAATTTTCCATCGAATAAGCTAAGTATTATAAGCTAGTTTAAATCTTTTCTTAGCTTTAAATTAACTAAATTTCTCGCGCTGAAAATATTTCCTTTGACATTAGTTTTGAGTGACAAAGATTTCAAATCCTCTTCAAAGTTTGTTGAAATAGTTTACAAAACTTTTTGAAAAACATATTGTGTAAATTGTGAATTGTGAATGTATTTTTACCTCCACTGTCTCGCAGTAAGTCTTCAAAGAGTCGTTTAATCGCTGTACGACCTGGAATGGACCAACAAAATGTATGATGAGTACTCATATATTGTAATATAAATGAAAAAAATAGATAATTCTATAACGGACTTACGGTAAGATCCTTCTGATGGCAAAACCACGAGAAGACTGCACGCCAAGCATAACAACAGTTGCAAGTTCATTTTCACGTACTCAAGTGTAAAAGTATTTTACCTTTCTTCTGCAGAACTGGGAGTGGAGTAAACTAGAATTCACTCAGTCGGGAGTATTTATACCGTGTTATTGCGTGGGATGCGAGAATAATAGTTGATTGACTTTATGACAGTCATCTTCAACAGCTTGTTTAAAACACCCAATCAATGGGCGCCCCAAACAACGACTGTTTTCTTGTTGTTTATTCTGTGATTGAGAACGGACTTCTTGGTTTATATTGGACTTGTGGGATCGGATCAGTGAGCATGAACCGTTGAGAAAAAGGCGCGCAAATTATATTTTGCAGCAATTCTGTTTTACAGTTTCATTTGGAAACCATCGAGGTTTTTTCGTGCTTGGCGTACCCTCATTATTTTAGCGTCCCTTTGGGATAATCTGATCATATTTCTAACAGCGTCGCATTCTTTTTTCGCGTCCTTTCGGCGCTCAAGATCAAAATCACGAGCATCTTATTACATCTTATTACTTGATCTGTTTGCTTATACTTTCTAAACCGCCGTTTCATTTCTATGCTCGTTGCGGTAAAATGAAGCATGTCTGTGTGGAAGTGTGACTTGTTATCTAGATAATAGATTGCTGAATAATCACGAGGGCAAAGCAAAAGTATGTTGGTTGTACACCACAAATTACAATCACACGGAAAACGATGGCGTCGTTTTGTTGTGACTCGGAAACCATGGACGAGGCACGCGACGCCTCATTTCGTTCATTACTAGTATAAGGATATTTTCTCCAGATGCTCAAAACAACACGAAAAGACTTCAAGAATTGCAAATGAATTCACAGTCTATTTACTATCGATGTGGAGATGTAACACAAGCTAGAAAAATCTGCTCACATATATAACCTTGCCTTGGAAACGTTTGTTAGAGGTGACTTTATTCTAGTAAGAAATAGAGGGATGTCACGAATGATCACAGCATCAAAGTTTCCATGACTCCCAGGACTCTCAGGGAATGATGTTTTGCATCATTCACCGGGTACCGAGAGATGTAAGACTTTTGCATCTGTGTCACGCAGAGAAACTTCAGAACATCATCGAATTATTGGAACGTAAATTTAAAATTTAAAATTATTCATTTATTTTTGTACTTTTTCTACTTTTTGCAGGAAAATAGCTCAAGGGGGAAGGAATGCTACAGAGGATCACGCTGAGCAAAGCAGAGCGGGGTAAATTTATTTCCGTTTGCAGCAATTAGTCGCCGACACAATGACTGCTGAGAGGTTCAATCACTCCTCCAATTCCTTTCATAGCGAATGATCCATTAACCGAATGGCTTTGTCAAAAGAACGGCTTCCTTCCTCTTTAATTTTGTTTCCATGTGCATGCATTCTTACGCTCTTTCTCACCAGCTTCTCTAATGGTCTTGAAATGTTAAACATGGTCTTGCTTTGACCACAGCTTTGACCCCTCGGCGGAATCAGAATAAGCGAGAGATATAAATCAAGAGACTCGTCTTCTAGTTATAGTTACCCAGGTTTCTTGTGCTAAAGCAAACTGTTTTGTGTAAAAGGAATTTTTAGTACTCGAAAAATTGAGCTTACAATTTGCTATAGAAAAAACCTCTTATTTTTGGACAATACAGTTGTTATGTAAATCAGAGGGGATTAAATTCAACCGGCAAGCTGTCAATATCGATTAGGTAAGCCTTGTCATCGTTCATCTTGACCTACGAGTAGATTTTGACTTGACTTCAAGAGTCATGTCTGTGAAATATCATTATGTGCAGTTGAATATAAGGCAAGTCATACAGGATACTAACACACCTGCTAGCACACTAATTTAAAAAAAAAGACTGATAAATTACGGACTATTAGGAACCTGGAATATAGCACAATTTTAAATCATATTTTAAACTTTTTTAATCTACSAAAAAAAAAAAAAAAAAAAAAAATGACCACTATTATCTCCTCCCAAATAGTCTTATCTTGTCATGTTTAAAAAAGTTTTTTTGCTTGACATGTGACCATGCTCTATTATATAGCATCATTGTTCGTCAAATAATATTCATCAAAGAAATAAACGAAAAATAATAATTAATGAATATTAAACATTCATTTCATGGAGTATGTGCAGTAAGACTAATTGCGTAATTGCTTTACATGTACAGACAGCCCAGTCAGACTGAAATGGCCATTCTCTGTGTCAAAATGTGTTAATATTATTAAAATATTTTGGTTGCCGCTATACCGATTGTGTTTAAACCTAATATTTATGTTATAGGGTTTTACGTAAAATGGAAAACTTACTGGCGAATGATATGCAGAAAAGAGAAAGAGATTTAAAAGGAAGGGAGAAAGAAAGAAAGAGAGAGAGAGAGAGAGAGAGAAAGAAAGAAATAAAGAATTTTCAATTTTACCATGAACATATCCTTAAACAGATTTTCATATTTGTCTCTGGTTTATCAGGTCTCTTGCAACGTTCAACGAGATTTATAGTTCGCTAAGCTTAAGAAGTATTCCTTTATTCAAAAGGCCGTTCGGCAGTTATCAGTTTACTCGTACGTTGAGCGGTAAGACTATTTTCTTTTCTCTCCTATCTCACATACTAATAGTATTTCCCTCAGCTATTTTTTGATTGCGTTCCCAAGAACACTAGATTAATTTGATGACAATAAGAAGCCAACAGTTTTTTTGGAGTTAACAAATCGTTCTTTTTAGCTTTCTAATCAGATAAAAGAATTCCCTTCTAAAATCCCTAAACCTCCAAGCATACAAAAACGGATTTACAATAGAGTTAGTGTAGATCAAAATTTTCAGCCACAAACGCCAGATTCGTGTTGCTTGATTTTCCTTGACGGCCAAGTGATACAAAATGAGGACGATTCGTGGATAGATACAAACTACAAATACACAAGTGATAATGGCTATCGTCTTAGCGATGTATCCATCTGCCAGTGACGAAACTCCTCCTAATCTTCCAGAAGTATTAGCAGCCAGTTTTTCTTTCGACTTCAATGATTTGTGCTCAAACTCTTGTGTGTGTGAATTATTCGAGGCGTTGACAGATTTTTGCGCGAGACTTTTTGAGTTCATCTCGTCGGTTAGTGAGAAAGAGGTACCTTCAACTTCAGGGCAAGTGGTGGAGTTCCCATAATCATCGTTGCTTACAATTCGTGTTACTGCTAAAAGCCTGACAGATTGATGTTCAATACAAAAAGCTTTATTATCAAAAGCAAGCTTCCTTTTACCACCAAGTGAGAAACATGGCTTTTGTTCCACAAACGATTTCCCTCTTCCATCCATGTCTATTTTGTTCATGTTACGAAATATCGAACATTTGGCGAAGGAAAAGTGATCCGCGTACGAAGTTTCTTCGCTCGCTTTCGTCGACCTAAACTTTTTCAATCTATTAAAAAGTTGTTTGACGAGCTTTAGAATCTTCCAACTTGTGATGAAAATTATTAAAGTCATAATAAAGACAAATACTACAAAGATGATGAGTCCCTGAAATGGGCTCACCCCAGGGAACATAGGAATCGTAGTAAGAAACAAAGAAATGATCCAAAGTAAGGAAACGATGATAAGAGTTCGAGTGAAATTGTATCGAATTCGTACTCGATATATAATGGGATATTTAAGTGCCATATAGCGGTCAAAACTCAATGCAGAAAGACTCGCCAATGACGATAGAATTGTGGCTCTTCCTATGAACACAGCAACTTCTATCACCACTTTAGAAGGTGGAACAAAGCCTGTAAAGATGGCCAAGTGCTCTCCTGCTCGTACAGGGACCAAAATACTTGTAACCAAACAGTCGGCTACTGCAAGGGAAAGTACGTAGAAGTTGGTTGCATGGTGTAAATTTTTGTTTCTAATCACAGCAAAGCAAGTCAGTAAATTTCCAGTCGATCCTACAAGACTGATAAAGATTTCAAAGACTCCAAGAGCAAGGAAGAGTTTAGGGCTCACTGTTTCTTGTCCTTCAGTTGTGTTATTTTTTGTCATTTTTGCGAATAAAGTTGTCGTCAGGTGTACAGGTATCCTTGTATTGCTATCCTTGTATTGCTATCCTCAATATACTTCAATGTCTCTTGCTGTAGTCAGTGAGGCTACGCTATAATACTCGATGCCTAAAAGCTTCCGTTTGCTATATGCAAAGGAATCAGAATGCTGGTCTTAAGGAAAAAATACCCTTCAAATATTCCTGAGAGAGCAGGATTAAAGATCCGTCATCACATTGTAATAATACTCAGAACAATCCTTTTCCCGCCAAGATTTGACCAATAAGATGTAGCTAGGGCAGATAGAACTCTTAAATGAGTCTTTATCTTTAACGGAGAACGCATAGAAAAGTTATCAAATCATATAGACAGATTGTCTACACCACTAAGGGAGCTATTCGATTATTCTTTCTTGGGAATTACTTAGTACGAACCAGGCGAATATCCGTGTGAAAGTGACTGTCGGAAGAAAGATTTGATGTGTTACGAATCACTCGAAATTTACAGACTTTTGCTTTTACAAATGCAATAATGGGGCTCAAAGTAGCGTCCAAATTTTTTCCCCAAAATATGTATAATTTGAATTGTGTGATCTGCTTGTATGAGACCATGAGATTTTACCACGGTTTGATAATGTAGATGCAAAATGAAACAGTTTTGCTGGAAATAATATTGGTTTGTACGTCACTAAGACGATATACCTGATAACGGTATGACGATTTATATTGAAAGGCAACGCGTAAAAGCAGGAGATACAAATTCCCTAAAATTTCATCTTTAGCTTGCATTAGCCGTTCTGCTGATAAAGTCAAAGTTGCAACGCTAGTTACTTTAGAATGCGATCGTTTAGTAATTCAAATATAAAAGGATTGTTGAAGGTTGAATCTTAATGGCTGCATTAAACCATTGATATCAATCACTTCGATAGCTTTAAGATAAGCTGTGATTTGGTCGTACGTGATTGCGGATACGAAATGACTGATTGTGTCATGTATGCATTTAGCAGGAATTTCAAGATATCATTAGGTCTCCAAAGAAGAGGAAAACTGCTGACAATGGACAAATTGATTGAACGAGTTGATGGACATAATAAACGATCTGCTACAAATCACAAGAAGTTAGTTGCTGCAAGTTAGAAAAATTTTTTTTAGACGAGCTGCTGCTTGTAGTGATCGTTTTGATTTAGTTCAGAAATCGTCGAAAACTGAAGTATAAGCTTCTCTTGATTGGTAAACTGCGCGCGCAGTGCATATCGTTTAACATGCAAGAACTCGTGAATACTATTTGCAGCAACTTTTTTCTTAGTTGCACATGTCGTCTAGGCCGTCTAAAATGCAGCAACTGGACTAACATGCCGCAAATCAACTAGCATTCAACAACATTTTTCGTATTCGCAGCAACTTGTCTGTACAAACTGACAAAACTCATCAAACAATCAGCTAAGGATGTTTTCGGCTATTCGTTTTCATAAATTACAGTAGGCAAATTTCTTTATTCCATAAAATGAGAATTCACCATTTTCCATACATCGGTTCACTGTTCAAACACAAAACATTCAGTCGAGGTTGCAAGGTTCAAATTTGAATAATCCTTTGAAAGTACCTTGGCGCCTCGCTTGAGCTTTGTGTTTGACCAGTGAACCGATGTATGGAAAATGGTGAATACCAGTACTCTCGTACCCAGAGCATCGATCTCGTTCCCAGAGCCTATGTTGCTCTTGGTCATCACCGAGATACTGACCTAGAGAAAGGAAGGCCCTGGGGACGAGATTACCAGAGCTTGACAACCATACGCATGCGCAGAGTTCATTGTGATTGTATTCCAAACAAACCACAGGCAGCCCAAACAAAGTCCTAATAAATTTTATTCTAATTTATTTAGACATACTCTTTATTCCATACATTGAATAACAAACCTACAGAAATCTTGTCATAGGCTACCTCGGATCATATACAGCTCGCGCGCATTTTTAAATTATTCCAATTTCCATTTTTGGAGTCATTAAATGGCAGCAATAGTGACGTCATAATATGACGTGATTATATGTAAAATTAATTCATTGAATAAAGTATTAGAAGCTGCGAAAACAGTGTTTTATCGTAACGGATTGTATATACAATTTTTCAACAAACATGAAGATTGACAAGAGAGTGGTAAGTGGAGCAATTATTTATATTATATTTTATTATTCTTCTTCATCATGTTGCACAAGCTGCGTTTCGGTAACATTTTTAGAAATCTCGATCTGAACTCAAAAAAAACTTTTATTAGTTTCTCGCGCAATTTTTTTTGAGAACCAAACTTATTTTAATTATAAAACTAAAAAAAAATTCCCTTTTTGTGGTTAGTCCGTCGATAGACGGCTAACCACTATGCTATCGCGTAGCGTGAAGCACTTCCCCTCCCCTGGTAGGGCGAATCATTTTTCGCATTTTATGCAGTAAGTTTTTAATTTACTGAATTTATCAGTTCATTTAATTGTTAGAGCTTTCATTATACATCTCTAAACAGTGGAATAACAGTTTTCATAGCTGATCTTAACAGCGAAATTGCAAAAAAACGGATGACCAATTTGTATAGTGCTTCTGTGAACCACTTCCCCTCCCCTGGTAGGGCGAATTATTTTTCGCATTTTATTCAGTAAGTTTTTAATTTACTGAATTTATCAGTTCATTTAATTGTTAGAGCTTTCATTATACATTT